AACAGAAGGTTGATAATCTTTATTAATACTTTTATTATAATGAATAATAAATACAATAAAAATTGAGCATCCACTATAATATGAGAATGAGGATCTAGATCTAAAAAGATCCTGCTAATGTAGCAATAATTCCTATCAGGAGACCCAAAATATTGAATGCTTCCACAAGTGTTCAAATTAGAATAAGGATTATTGTATTGCCATCCTAATATAAATATAAATTATCAGAAATTACCATCTATAATGTTAGAATTAGCATTAAATTCAAAAATCACAGTTTGATGAGTTGTAGAGATTATAATGATGAGCATTATCATTCTTAATTAATATAAATATTTTGTATTTTAATAAAATCATAATTATGCACTTAATTTTAGATTAAAATCAATTTAACTATTTAACTCATAACAATAACTATAACTATAACTATACTCATTCATAATTAAATTTGTTAATAACAAAAGATAAAGATCTAATAATTATACAGGATCAGAAGAATATTAAGATGCTTTGATATTTTATGATAAAGCTTTAACAATTAATTCTAATCATTAATGGACAAAAACAGAAAAAGTATTTTATTTCTTATAATTAGAAGAATGTTTAAATTCCTTAGAGACCACATAAACAATATTTTATAAAACAAATTAAAATACACTATCCTAATTCAAGTTCTTTTTTTACAATGTCATTAATCATTAGAAATTTCTTATATTACTTTTAAGATAATGTTCTGGTTTTCGCATTTTAAATAATTTCTATAATGAACATCGCATTCCTCTTTGAATTTGTAGGATTACAGCAATAAACAAACAAAGTTTATGAAGTTAATTGTATTTTCTTGAGCCTTATTTCTACTATGATGTTTAATTCGAAATCACAAAAAAAATATATTTCTTTCTTAAACTTCAAGTGTTTAAACTTTTTCTTATTATACTTTTCAATAATTATTGGGTTCTTAATTGTTTTTAACATAAATAGATAAAGTAATGTGTTTAAAATTCATGATCTTGAAGTTGTTTTGCGTCTTGTTTTTATTGTAATTTACCTAATGAAACACTTAAAATAAATCGCAATTAAACTTAATTTATAATTTTTAACACATCTAATATTCTTTGTTATTGTGAAAACAAAACTATTGTATTATTAAGGAAAATTTGGAGTCTTAACTTAAATATATACCTTCTCATTTCAAGGATATTCAAATATTGTAACCAATATCTAGATATAGAAGATATGTGCTACAAAAAATGTTATTTGAAATTCATAGTCTCCTGATATCATTTACTTGAAAATTATAGTAATCTTATTTTGTTGAGTAGTATTGTAGCTAAACTTTAAGTAATTATTAGGACAAGAAACAATAAGGAGAATTGAACAATAATATAATTCTCTCCATTACAAATGGGAAAAAATGATTCCAAAGTAAATAGGTTCCTCTCCAAACATAAATTAATAAGGTTGATTAATGCATTTTGCTTTTGGTTATAATAAGGAGCATTTAGCTTAATATCAATAGCATTTTCATTTTCGTTTAATAGTTATTAAATGTAAATATTTGTGATGGTTTATAACAAACCTTATGACTATTATTTAAATCTAAATGAATTGTATGAATTGAACAGTAATATTGTTATGGCAAGAATAAGCATGGTAAACAAAGAATGGTATTAACCAGTTTGAGGTCAGATCCCATTGTTGCTGTGTACAATTCACAATTATTGATTTTTTTTTGAAGATCCTTTGTCTTAAAACATTTTATCCCAAGTAGAATTTCTATGCATAACCTTATTTTTTCATTAATTTATTGATGAATTATTCTTGGCATACTTCTCGTACATTTTTCGGTGATCTCGTAATCTATTTAAAGTTTCTTTTATTCCTTCGACCTAATTTTGTATATTCACTATTTCATTTACTCTTTCCACCTTATTTTGTTCATTCACTATTTCATTTATTCCTTCCACCTAATTTTGCTCATTCCCTATTTTATTCTCTTTATTTTTCTTACCTAAAGTCTATTTAGTTTTTAAATATTCGCCTCCTTCATCTTTAGATTAGATTTTATTTTCGCATTATTGCAATTCATCACATAATATTACGATAGACATCTCAGAATATTATTCTTGTTATTATTAACCCCAAATTCCATTTGAATCACCTTTTTTACCTATATTGATATAAGTTTAGTACTCTGTTATTGATTCCTTTCTTTACTTACACTCTTTGTAGCTGTAGAGTTATTTTCGTTTCCATTGTATTTTGTCTGATCATTACTACCTAGATAAGCATCAAATTTGTCAATTTGTTATTCCCAATTTCTTTCTTATGATATTCTTTCCTCTTTTTTATCGAAATTCGGATTCAAATTGACTTATAAATTCATAATTTTTATGAATATTAATAAGGATTTTATTTGTGATAAATATATGCTTAACCAATTAAATCATTAAAAATAGTTTATTCTTAAATACAAATAATTAAATAATTCAATTTTATTTAAAGGAGAATAAATGAAAATTGCTCATCAAATGTAGACCACTAAAGAGAATTAAATCTATTATTTATATCATATGATGTTTTTATAATTGTTAAATATCAATCATAGTCTCATTCTAGATATTGAATAAAAGAAAGATAGCAGCAACCTTGTTTCTTAGAATATTAAAATTATCTTATTTAGGGATACAAAGGATGATTATGAAATTAATTTAAATACAAGAAATTTTATGATAGATCATTATATTAGCACCACACGAGCTGATAATAAATAGTTGATAGCTAATTCTTAAAGAATAGCATTATANAAAATTATAGTAATCTTATTTTGTTGAGTAGTATTGTAGCTAAACTTTAAGTAATTATTAGGACAAGAAACAATAAGGAGAATTGAACAATAATATAATTCTCTCCATTACAAATGGGAAAAAATGATTCCAAAGTAAATAGGTTCCTCTCCAAACATAAATTAATAAGGTTGATTAATGCATTTTGCTTTTGGTTATAATAAGGAGCATTTAGCTTAATATCAATAGCATTTTCATTTTCGTTTAATAGTTATTAAATGTAAATATTTGTGATGGTTTATAACAAACCTTATGACTATTATTTAAATCTAAATGAATTGTATGAATTGAACAGTAATATTGTTATGGCAAGAATAAGCATGGTAAACAAAGAATGGTATTAACCAGTTTGAGGTCAGATCCCATTGTTGCTGTGTACAATTCACAATTATTGATTTTTTTTTGAAGATCCTTTGTCTTAAAACATTTTATCCCAAGTAGAATTTCTATGCATAACCTTATTTTTTCATTAATTTATTGATGAATTATTCTTGGCATACTTCTCGTACATTTTTCGGTGATCTCGTAATCTATTTAAAGTTTCTTTTATTCCTTCGACCTAATTTTGTATATTCACTATTTCATTTACTCTTTCCACCTTATTTTGTTCATTCACTATTTCATTTATTCCTTCCACCTAATTTTGCTCATTCCCTATTTTATTCTCTTTATTTTTCTTACCTAAAGTCTATTTAGTTTTTAAATATTCGCCTCCTTCATCTTTAGATTAGATTTTATTTTCGCATTATTGCAATTCATCACATAATATTACGATAGACATCTCAGAATATTATTCTTGTTATTATTAACCCCAAATTCCATTTGAATCACCTTTTTTACCTATATTGATATAAGTTTAGTACTCTGTTATTGATTCCTTTCTTTACTTACACTCTTTGTAGCTGTAGAGTTATTTTCGTTTCCATTGTATTTTGTCTGATCATTACTACCTAGATAAGCATCAAATTTGTCAATTTGTTATTCCCAATTTCTTTCTTATGATATTCTTTCCTCTTTTTTATCGAAATTCGGATTCAAATTGACTTATAAATTCATAATTTTTATGAATATTAATAAGGATTTTATTTGTGATAAATATATGCTTAACCAATTAAATCATTAAAAATAGTTTATTCTTAAATACAAATAATTAAATAATTCAATTTTATTTAAAGGAGAATAAATGAAAATTGCTCATCAAATGTAGACCACTAAAGAGAATTAAATCTATTATTTATATCATATGATGTTTTTATAATTGTTAAATATCAATCATAGTCTCATTCTAGATATTGAATAAAAGAAAGATAGCAGCAACCTTGTTTCTTAGAATATTAAAATTATCTTATTTAGGGATACAAAGGATGATTATGAAATTAATTTAAATACAAGAAATTTTATGATAGATCATTATATTAGCACCACACGAGCTGATAATAAATAGTTGATAGCTAATTCTTAAAGAATAGCATTATATACAGTGAATCTCTTTTCATTGTTATTGAAGACAAGGTTATGATTCATAGTTATAGAGTTTTAGAAAAAAATTTGTCATCATTTTGTGACTCCATATATTTTTTATCCATAATCTCAATTTTATTTAATTTTGACATTTTCGGTTGAGGAACTATACATGAAAATTTAATCATTCGGGTTTAGCTGTGATATGGTAGTATTCAACTGGGGAGCATGTTTTTAAGTCACAAGGAGATGTTGTATAATCTATATATTAGTTTTAGGATTAGTTAGTATTGCTTTAATTTTCTTTTAAATACATAATTAATATACATACTGAAAGGGAAATAATTATTCATTTATCATGGTTGAAGATGCAGAAGGCTTACAGATTTGTAGCAGAATCTCTTGTATAGAGAATTCTATACTGCCATTTTTTGGAATGGGAAAATAAAGTGAATTTCTTGTTGTTTCACTGAGTTGCTCAACATTTTAATTTGATCAAAATTAATTGAAATTTGATTTGTGCACAATTTTTTTATATGTTTTCAATCAAATGAAATAAGATTTTTCCTTATTGGAAATATTATTTATATTCTTCACTAATTATATTTTTAACCTGAGTTTGATCAAATAGAAATAGAAAACAATGACTTCAAAGTGAAAGAAAAGGAGTTATGAAAGCCTTTTAAACATTACATAAGTATTTACTAATGACTGTGAGTTCAATGGAACCCTGGATTCATCGTAGTTGAGAACAGTCTAAATTTTTATAAATCATATTTGAGGAAGATGAGAACCTTTGGCTCGATATTGTGACTACTACCCTTTTAAATGAATAAATAACGAGACATGTGAGAAAGTGAAAACTAAATACTTTCTTTTCTGTGTCTTTATTTTGATCCTATTATATTTAATATTATTAATATATTTCTTATTTATATAATGGATTTGACTCTTCCCTTCTAATTAACAATTTACCTATGTGATAATATATCAAACTATTGCGTAAAGTTTTGATATTAATTTTCAAAATCCTAAAAAATCATAATAATACAAGTGTACATAATTTGAAATATTAATAATGATCCTAGCTAATATTAAGTTGTTTGATATATAGCAGCTTAATTTTAGTTCATCATTTAATAAATTGGTAATATATTAATAATCCTTAATATGAATAGCTATGAAGCTCAAAAGAAATTAACTTAATATGACCAATAGGCTTGAGATTACAGCAATTAAAATTAGATAGAAATTATGAGTAAAAAGGCATATGTCAAAACATAGTTTGCTTTAATTTTTGTTATACAAAACTTTACTTCTGGTGATAATTTGTATCAAAATTAAACTAAATTTCTTTGACATACTTGATTTGCAGGAGATATGAGAAAAATAATTGAAAATTCATTGGTTTTGATTTATTAACAATTAAAGATGTATAACTGTCAAGAGAGTTAGATTTATATTATCATTCTTGAAAAAATTAGACTTCAAAATTGTTATTTTATGTTTTATCATTCTCTATTTTTATTTATCTTACATGAAAATTATTATTAATCTGAAAAATAACTATTTTATATATTAATCCTATGATGTCATAGGTAGCATTTATATTACCTTCTTCCGCACAGCTTTATTTCAAGGCTATTTGGATTAAATGGAGGGGGAACTGAATGATGATATTGACATATTTGAGAATTTAAATGAATCAGGGAAAGGTAAATTTCAAACGAGTTGATTCTAAGCCCACCATTATCGACCTCACCGAAGCGTACTACCGTGGGAATGATGTTGAGCAATTCGTTTTTGAAGTCTGAACGATGCGAAAGCAGAAGATGTATCAGATTCTATATCAGTTAAAATAATACAGATCAACGTATCTTCAATATAAATCTTAGTAAAAGCCCTGAATATTTTGCCTTGTTACTTAGGGTTTACAAATCTATGTAGAAATCAAAATTTAGAGAAAAGGGGTTGGGGAATAATCAACTCTTTCCTGAGTAAGAAAAGATATCTGTATAAATTAGGGTGCAGATACCAATTTTCAACTGTTAGGAAGGTTTAAAGGAAGTATTTTATGGTAAATAGAATTTTAAAAAGAAAATTACAGTTTTTAAAGAGAGGTTATAGAAATTTTGAAAATGAGCTTAAAAATTTTTCTCCTAGGACGTCGTATAGGATGAGCAAACCAAAAGCCGATCTATTTATTATTGTTTAAATAATTTAATAAATATAAATATATATTTTTAAATGCAAAATAATTAAATACGCTAATTGGTTTTGATTCAAGAATAAAACCTATTTGAAGAAGAAAAATTAAAGTTAAATGAAAAATAACTTTAAGGATAAAGGATTATGCTCATATAGAAATTTGAAATCGTTAATTTAACGATATCACCGAATTTGAGATTTTTGATCACATATGAAAAACCGAAAATTACAGAAAAGTCTTAATGGAAGATGAGATCATAATTAAGAATATTTGATAATTAATAAAATAGAATTTTAACTATAGTAAAAAATGTAACTATTAAAACTGTAAAATTTACAGATGATTCAAAATATTTAATCATTTTCCCTTTTCTGGAATAAGTAAAGATTTTTGATATTGAAACCCAAAAGCATCACGAAATATTGAAAACTAATTTTTTAGCCTCAATCGATTAAAATAATAACATGTTCATTATTGATAAGGAGTGGAAAATAATCAAGTATTCAATACCAGAGAAGATCTTTACAACTTGTTGTTGTTTTCAATGGGTATCAAAATGCATTAACATTTTCAAAGAGTATTATTTAATTATCATTCAATAATATTATTACATTTTATTTTTAAGCAACCAAAAATCAGTTAAATAGAAAAAATAGTTTCTTTAAATATTCAAGAATGATTAGGTAAATATTTTTTAAAGATTTCTTTGTGTTAGAATGATTGAAAATAATAGAATAGAATTCACTGTTGAAAATTTATTTAGTGGAAAAACCATTCGAAGGATAAAAAATAAAAAAGGAACTTCTTGTAATATATTTGAAAACAAAGATTCTACGTTTTTTTTTGGGTTTTCAAGGATTTATGAAGAGAAAACTCAGTTTTTTATTTTTGATTTAATCAGGGGTATTAAGCTTGAATTGATTTATGATAAAAAATTCCTTTTTAGGATTTGCATGAAGTATTTAAAATGAGAGATACTCTAATCGTGGGAGTGAATAAATATGAAGGAATTTTAAGATATTTTTAATGATCCAAATGACATAATTAATACAAATTTATGAGGAAATGATTACCCCATTTTTCGTTTTGAGGAATCTGAAGTATCAGTTTTACTCTGTAACAATTTGTTTTGATTCATCAATAAAACCGGTTTCCACCAATTACTTCAATTTTTTTTGAATCGAAGTATTCATAAATATTCTTGGGTTTTAATATTATTTTATTCAATAAATTTATAAGAACAAATGCGGTTATGTTTCAAATTGTGAATGTTAGAAACTAAAAGTAACAAAGATATATCGATTTATCTAAATAAATTAAGGGAGAATGCTTCATTTGTTAATATTACACTTATATAAGCATAACATCAATAAATAGGCTAGAAATTATGGAAGATAATACAGAAATATCAACTTGTTCTAGGTGAATACTTAAAATTTAATTAGCCGTAAGTAATCAAAAAGCTTTTATGGGACGATTTATACCTCAAAGAACATAAACTGCAAGGTTAAACTATAATACCATTTGTTGACACAGAAAATTACTTCAATTAAAATAAGTAAAATAATTTGAAAGTAAATGGAAGGTTATAAAAATAAATTGAAACTGGAAAGGTGAAGTGATTAGATTGAAGAATTAGATATTGCATTTCAAAAAAATATTGAAAATACGCGAAATGAATTTATATATGCACTTAAAATATTGCGTATGATTAAGATGTTAGATATACAAGTTTAGGAAAGTTGATGATAGAGAAGAGTAAAAACATTAAGTCCTTAAAATATATTGCTAATAATATGGCAGAATTCATACTCTCAATTGAAGAGTTGGTAACAAATTTATTTAATAATCCTAATATTTGATTGATAAAATTATTTGATAAGATGTCTGAAAAATATAAATATTTCTCTGAAAAGGACACCTCAAAAAAAGAGCTTGCAATAAATTAAGATATTGTAATTGGTTTAGAATGATTAATTTGTGATTGTTAGAAAAATGGAATAATGCACCATCACAAACTTTGACAAAGGTATTTCATATAAAATTTGTTAAATAACTTATGTTTAAATTGAATTTGGTCAAAATGTCAAAAATTAAGAAGTTGATTTGAATTTAGTTCAATCAATTTTTGATGTAGACTTTAATAAGGCTCGATAAAATTAGTTTGCTTATCAACATATAACATTTTTAGAGATGTTGAATTAAATACCTGGAATGTACATTTTAGTATTTAAACTGCTACAATAAGTAATTTATTGCATTATTATTTTTGGATAATTAAGAATACTAATTGTAATAGTATTAAATATTATTACTTTAGGAACAGATCATTCAAAAAAGAATGAGCTTTTTATTTCATCATCATATTTAAATAAAGCAAAAATCTTTTAAAAAGTTTTTCACTAAAAATGATTCTTAAAATCATTATGAAATATTTACCTGAAAATTAAATCTTCATGCATTAAAAATTCAACTGTTTTTAAGAAAAATCTAAAGGTTTTGCATTAATCAGAGTACTTGATCATTTTCTTTAATAAGAAGCTAAATTTTATTATTTATATTTGAAATATTATACCAATCAACAGCTTTAATGTCTTTTTCATCTTTCAAAATCAAACTTCATTTCTAAAATTTGAATGAATTAAATTTTATTGTCTAAATAAATAATCAAAAGTTGATATTGCTGAAATAAAGTAATGTATTGGTTATTGCTATTTATCAATTTAAACTTCAAATGTTGATAATTAACGTTAGTAATAGCTAGAAAAGCTAAGGCTAATATTAGTTTTTTATTACAACTTTTATGGAATTTAACAAAATAATCAAATCATCCCTTTGTCGATTGTAAGTAATTAGTTGATTAATAATATCTTATTTTTCTCTATTTATTTTTTACTATAAATATTTTTTAGTTTTATTTATAATTTTACCAAAGATTTTAAATTTCATTAATACCACCTCATTCTTTTTTATGTGCCATTCATGGATGTTTTATTATTTTATTGAAATTCCTCAATTTCATCACAATTATATTATTGACAAGCAACATTTATGTAAATATTTCTAACGTTGATATCCCATACAAAACCATCAACTTAATATTAAAATATTAATTAATGTTAATATTGATTTAATAGTATACAAAGAGATTTAGTATAAACCATATTGGATATTGTCAAAATATTTCTCGTAAAAATAAAGGAGTGTTTGAAAATTTTACTTAAACTAAATTCTTTTTGTTTAAAAGAATTTGCAACTTTAAATCAAAAAACTAATCAGTTATAGTTTTAGAAGAGCAAAATAATTAAATTATTGCATATATTGAATTGTTATGTATTTGAATGAATTTATTTTAGTAAACTTTTGGCTATTTTATCGTCTTTTAATGAAATTGGCTTCATAATCTTTAGTAAAATTATAAATAACTTTGAATAAGTAAACTTAAGTTGATTGATAAAACATAAAATATTTATTCACTTATTCATTTTTTTTCATGCAATAGAATTCTATGTGGTCTAACAACTTCTGAGTTATAAATAACAAAATATATTTCTCTCTCCATATCTTTGCTTTATCTAATTTATCTGGGATTTAACTTGACATAAAGATAACTGCAACATATTTCTAACCAACCTAAGTGTAAGAAGCATATCCATAATTAACACAAACTTTTAATTCATTTGACAAGTAAATATCTTTCAGTTTATACAAACTCATTTATGCAATCTGAATATTCATAAGCTTACACTTTACCAGGTTATAAATTTGTTTTCATAATTGATTTAACAGCACAATTATTAGTGCCATGATACAAAATTGATCATTCATTAGGATTACCATCTATGTTTATCCAATTTTTCTTATCTCCATATTTTTTGATATTTAACCCAAATCCATAAAATCCTATTAGAAAATAATAATTATATCTAGGATGAGGAGGTCCTATCTATTCTTATTTATGAAAACCTTCCCATATTGTATGCAGAATTAAAATCATCAGAAGAATGAGTGATTCCTTTTGAATCCTTATTCATTTAATCAAAATATGCTAGATATTCTATTTTGCCATTACAATAATAATAATTAAAAAAATCTTATGCTCATTAATCCTTTTAATCTGTTATGATATCAATTCCATATTGTATCGAATGCTCCTATAATTGAATCAAATACTTATAAATATTAGTTATTTGTTTTTAATAATTCTCTTTTTTAATCACTTAATAATGATTCTTTTAAAACAAAAATGCGAATTCAATATTCGAAGCTTCAATATTTATATGAGGAATTGATTTTGCTTCACCTTAGTCCTTTAATTTTTTAAAATAATTATTATTAATATAAGTACTTATAGTATTATTTTTTATTATTTGTAAGGTCATTATCATAATATAATTTCTTAGTTTAATATCCACATAACTGATTATTTATATCATTGATTATTTCTTATTTAATAAAGAATATAATACAAAGTTAAATTCTAAAAAAGGGAAGTTTAATAGAATTAAGTAAATTGATTAATATTACATTTTATATTTAAAATTATATGATAAAAA